TCGCAAAGGATCAAGTAACTTCAACTTCCCACGACTAACAATAACCAAAGCCACAGAGATGCCAATTCATGCACACGGCTAGCAACATGCCATTATTGCCTAGCATCATTGCACCCTAACAACAAAGCAACTCCAACTCCACCTAGGCACCTACAAGAGTCCAACGGAGCCACCTGCTTCAAGTAAGAAACTGGTACTAATAAGGAGAACGTCTCCTAAAACAACCTAAGCTTGAATAGCTTTAGTGGGAAAGCTGAAGGCCTTGAGCCAATGCAGAAGTATGTAAATGACCACTGCTGCGTGAGGAAAGATTCTCCATATCTGCGCCCCCATGGAAGATAAGACATGAACTGCTGTCGCCCTAGAGTTTCCACCTAGAGTTTGATGTAGGGGGAGGGGCAACACAGCATAATGACACCTTCGATGAGGAGAGTGGCATCATAGGGCATTCCTGTCATTAGACGAGGCACTGACATCGCCTACCCACACATCCGAGGAAAGATCAGCACCGAACCGACGTCTGCTGAGCAAGGCTAGCCGCCGCTAGACCAAACAAGTAGCTACAGTTGTACCCTCAACACCGACTCTAAACAACTGGGTACATACCCAAAGACATCACCGGAGTGGAAGGTCGTGGAGGGAGACATTGAGAGAAAAATCTATCTCCCTAGCATAGACCCACCATCCGCTGCTATCTAAGGACTTCACCTATCTAGATGATCTAAGAGTGGTTTTTCACGATAAAGGGCCCCTCCAGATGACGTCCCCAGGGAGAAATACGATGAAGAACACCGCCTCCGTTCATCGAGGTCTCAAGGAGATCCAGGACAAGGTTTTCACCCAATGGCCACAACAGGAAAGGAGAGGGACACCTCGGCAAATGCCCCCAGGAGAGAAAAGTATGCCCAATGCGTCGACCAGGCTAGGCTTTCACTTGCCTCCCACCCGGTAAGCTGCTCCATTGCTCCACCAGCAGCCATCCACTGTCAGCACGTGGACACTTTTGGTATTTCTTATGTTCACAGATAAAATCCGCAAGCGTATGGATAGACCGTTGTAGCACTTCACCCAGAATAGAAACTAACTAAGAAGTATACCATACAAAATAAATCTCAATTACTTAATTAAAGTAAAGTATTCTCTAGAGCAAAGTTATCTTTAAGGTACGAAAGAAATAGAGAAAGATACCGACAACTCCGGAACTCCTACAACTCTTTCTTCCTCACTCTCTCCCTTATTCTAAGTATACATAAAAGAATACAAAGACCCTATTATAATTCAGCTCGTATCTTGGTGTGTATTGAAATGACGGAGGAGAGGGCCTTTTATAGCTTCATGAAGGTGGTTGGAGCGTGGAAACTGGCCACAACCGCCATAGGAAGGTCAGTAGTAGCTGCCAAAGTCGGTTATGGTTGGGCTGGTCTGAGCCTACTCCTTCCTCTTGGGCCATGGCATGTGGGTCTTTATTCCATTGGCATGGTGGTTGGGCCCAGTTGCAAGTATTTCGTTGGGTTTATGGGCCGAAGACTCCATGGGCTTGGTTATGATGTAATTCTTCCCCTCCTTTATGTATGTTTCATCTCAACTTTGGTAGTTTGTCACCGGTATCCAAATATACACCAACACCTTTTGAATTGTTAGAATGAAACCTACCACTATGTTGTATGTTTTATATTTTTAGATTTATACATGCATTAACGGTGTAAATTTGGTATTTAACTGTCGTCAACAGACACTGCTGCTCCGATGCCCCTCGCCAGCCAACCTCTGCCTGCCTCAGGGGTCATCATCGCCAGCCACCCTCGAGCATCCTCCATTGTGTTGCCGCCTGAGGAAGGGCGTAGCAGCTCCCCACCACACCAAACCGGTTGCACGCTGCATTGTCTCCACGGTGGCGTGCCGCCAAGCCTTCATGGTCACGCTCCGCGCTGCTCTCTCCATGGCAATGCACCGCCTCCAAGGTCTCTTCCCTCCGCAGCACCTCGACGCACCGCCGTTCATCCCCTCACGTCATCAACCCAGCTGCCTCATGAGTCGAGTCCCTGCAATTGCCACCGGCTGAGCCACCACCTGTGGGCATCCACTGCACACACACCGCCGCCATGGGCATGGCCTATCCGGATTCGCACCACACTACCTCCTCTACGCCTCATGTGGCCTCGCTACTGCCATCACTGAGAGTCGCTAGAGAGGCCAGATCCAATTGTCGGGGTGCTAGATCTGGCCAAATGGGCACAAGATTTAGTGGCTCCTCCCATGGCACGACTTACCTCCCACTGTCCATCATTGGTCGGTACCCCAGCACTATCACCTCCTCCTCTACCTTACCATCTAGATTTTCCGATGGCTGCTCGGGCAGTAGCGAGGCGGAGGTGGTGGTGGTTGTTTCGCAATCCGGGCCGCCCCTAAGGTGGGAGCGATGCGGATGGGAGCTCACCTTCCAGAGTTGCGGTTCTATCAATCTTATTTTAAGAGAATTCAAACACATAAGAAAGAAGTGGCTTATTATGAAAGCTGGGTCCTCACGGCACCTCTCCTAAAAACACATGTAAAAACACGAAAATGGAACAATAGATGTTGGTCCACTTAGTGATCCAATTACAAAACTATATGCCATTTGTCCCTCGACTCACAAAAAGAAACTCAAGTTTTATACCTAGGTCCGAACCACGGTTCACTATTTATGATGTGGCATCAATTTTTTGGTTATATTTTATTTGAAGAAAATCCCAGCTAGAATAATAAATCGCTGAACAACTGTGCAAATTCTATTATTTGGTTATATTATATTTGAAGCTTTCGTTAATTTGGAAAAAGCCTGGCACCTGTTGAGTCAGCTAGACTTGTATCCAGTGTTTTGGTTTAGTAGTCACACATTGGGTGTGATATGATTATTATGATATGGAATTTTCCTTTATTGTTGATTTGCATAAAAAAAATGAATCATGTTGTTGATTAACAAACTGAATGACAGTGGCATCTCGAGATTAAATAGTAAACAATTTTATCTATAGTATAATGTTATGAGAAATGTATCTTTCCAAACAATCAACACAATGGTCGGAAGAAGGGTCACAACTTCACTATTCTATAATTTTGTTAGGTTACCACCAGGGTATGTCATACTATAGCAATGTTCAGTTTCAATCCGAGCTGTGGTTCCTCGCCATAGTGAACTATTTTATGTTTGAGACATGCAGTACTATTAGAATGCTTCAGCTATTTTTGGTGTAGTTGCATAAGCCAATTGGTTTCTGGCGTACATTATCTGGCATCAACAAATGAATTAAGTACTACTGCAAAGGTTTATAAAAAAAATTGTATGACGCTTTAGGGGCATGGAAATAATAAAGCGTGCAAACAAAAAATTGGAATGCTTCGTCGCCCATGTTTAAACGGTTCTATTGGAAGATTGTCCTCTGAAAGTTCTACACGTTCTGAAAGTGCTACAGACATGAAGTACCATCATTTTTGGACAACCTAGAGACCCAGCACCAGTTCATCACCTTGATGTACTGGTCCGATAACACTGCACCTTGATCTTGAGGACAGATGACCTATCTGGGACTTTACTTGATCTCCATGAAGTGCACCATTTCATCAACCGGTCCATCATTCTACCGGTACAGACTGTTGCACCTTCCAGGATCAGCCTGATGCCGCGCATTCCAAATAAAAACACAAAATAAAAGATCATCGGGCGCAACCAATAAAAAAAATCGCCGCTTCGTTGATTTCAATATACCAGGTACTAAATATTTTCACATAGGAAAGAACGTTGCAGTTATGTTAGGACTGTAAAAAAGTGTCAGAAGAATGGGAGCATAAATTAAGTGGATCACGTTGTATATGGAGTTATGGTCCGAAGAACATGGTTTGCTGGATGATGGCCTTTTATATTGAACTTTTACGTTATAATTTACTGGTAGTATAAATAATGTAATGGTGCATTAGTTTCCTGCACTACTATATAAATGATTTTTCAGTACGAAACCCTCTTTAGATTGCAGACGGAATGTATCTGGTCGTGTCTGAAAAAAATCATCCTCCATCTTCCCGTGCGGCTCCTCAAGAGCTACAATATAAGCTTATTTTTGCAGGCGAACCTCTTAAAGGGGCCGTAAAAGAAAATATATTTTCGCAAGAGGGCCTCTTAAGGATCCGCCTAAAGTCTGAGTTCTCTCCTCATTTTCCGCATAAATAGTGTCGGCATTAGTTTTTGGGTTTTGAGAGGATTTTAAATAGGAAAAAGAAGAGTATTGAATCTGTAAATTTGCTAGGCAACCATAATTAATAGTTAGGGTCCAAAAATATAGATTTGACCCGAAAGTTGTGATGGTGCAAATATTTTTTTATTGCATTATTTAAATCTGGTTCAATCCTAAAATTAGCCTAGATAATTTGGGGGCGTTGATATATCTTAGGAGTTTATTAAAATATTCTAAGTAGGCATAGTGATGTTGTGTTTCTCCATTACTTTACATGCCCGTTCATTTCATATCAATGAATTTCATGCCATGAGACACTTGATGAAAGTTGTAAATATCTATTTAATTATATAGGGTCGTGGTAGTGGCGACTATTTCAAGGTTGCTAAGATGTCATGACACTTGTCAACATGGTCCATGTATTTAACATTCAATTTGTAATTTATATTATAGAAATTAATAATTGACTCGTACTTTCTTTGGTTTGTTATCATGTGCACAAGTATTTATAGGATTATCAAGAGATATCGTATCATGTAAATTGTAATTATTTCTCAGGTGTATATCTTTAATATAATTCCTTGTTGTGACAATTCATGATTTGGCAAGCAATAGCAATCATAACAACCAGCATGATACAAAAGTTTTAAAAAGTTAGAAATTTTAGTGATTTTTATTATCAGGAATTTTCAGCATGTTATACTCCTCAACAATAATATAAAACCAACCTTTAAATGGTACTGCAAATATTTCAGCTCAGATGATCGATACACTCATTCAGTGACAACTTGATTCACACAACCAACCTTCAATGAAGATCTTTATTGATGCATGCAACACACTACAGACAGAAACAACTGATAGGACACGACTGTAAATTCAGAAGGACTCCAGCGACCAAGCATCACTCATCACAACAGGAATGATAGGGAGGACCCCCATCTTATTTGTTTACTGCAGAAAACACACGTGAAACTCAAACACGGAATACTTATTTTGACAAGTTAGATCGGCTGCACGTAGACACCAACTGCATTTATGTATTTCCCACTGCGCCCAAAGAAACCCACTATACTGGAGTTATTCTGCGCTGGGACACTGAAAGGGGTTCCCTCCTGTCGTCCAAATGGGCCATATGTTTGCTTATTGGTGATAAAATTAATAGATGTTATAACGGTGCTGCCCTCATATGGGCCAAACGTTCCAGAAACTTCCTTGAGAAACTCTGAACTGCCAAATTCAATCTACATACAAAGGAAAAGGACAACTGTTGTAAGTATTTTACAACCGAATATATATATTATACTATTTTCTTGTTGGTTAAATAAAATTTGCAGTGGAAGTTCACTAACCATTATGGGATCCCCGCCAGGACCACCCCATGGACCTGCCTTGTGCTTCTCTCCGGCATGGTCAAGGTAAGTAAACGAGATTGAGTCAACAGACCAGCCGTGGTATAATGTGATGCTTTCGAGACGCTTTGGAGACTCAGTGATGTCTTGAACTGTCCCTTCATGAGATGAACCCCATGGCCCAATCTTGGTGACAGGGCACTGCATAGATAGGATGTACATCGTACATTCGATTATGATATAGTATCTCAAGTGCTTCATAACATACAACAAAGCTAAATATAGATTAATATTGTTTTTACCTGTGACCCTTTTAAGAGAGGACAAAACCCATGGATAGTGAGCTCTATTATGTTTCCGTATTGTTTTTGTTCTTGCATTTTCTTCAAGATAACACCAGTTGCCATAGCAAACTGTCCTGTGCCCCCAACAATAGCCCAATCACCTTCTTCGACAATTAGCCCCATCACCTGAAGCGTGGACCCCTTAAGCCTGTAGCACATGTAAATAAGAAAACTACAGTTACTTTGCTCAAATTATTGCAAAACTACATATTTAAGGCGTCCCATCACAATGCAAAATTATAGTTTTAACACATGACTTGTAAAAAAAATATATAGATTTAATATTAGAGTTATCACAAGACTATAGATTTTATGGCTTAAGTTCATACCAATTTGTTATGTTAAAGTCATAAATGTTGTAATCTTATACTTAACATGGTGCAAAACATTTAGTTTTGCGATAGTTTTATTAGAAAATATAATAGTGAATTTTACTACTAATTTATATGTACCTTTCATCCTCGAACACTAGGCTGAAGGAGTTGTGCCAGGCACCCGCAAAAACGTGGAGGCCTTTTGCATAGGCAACAAGCTTGGCGTCGCTGCCGATTCCGTCATATACTGACCAGTTGTTAACGACAATGCAACCCAACCCGGTTTTTTTGTCATTGCTTGTGACCGCCGACTGGTTTTGTTCTGGACCAGCCGGCGTGTGGTGCAGGTAGAGTTTGGTGAAGTTGATCTGGTTGCCCTGAACAAGCATGCCACAGGGTGTGATTTGCAGCTTGCTGGGATCAGCCATAGCTGAGAGCTACTGCTGGCAGAGATTGGTTTAGTACTTGTGGATGTAGCTGTGAGTGATGCGCTGCGAGTAGTAGAAGAAGCTGGCATGCATGAGGTATATTTATAGATGGATATATGCATGGATTCTTAATAGAAAACATGTGGCTAGAGCTGCTGATCGATGAGACAAATTAATGTGTGAATTAATCACTCGGAAAGAGTACATGCTGCATGTATCAGTACTGTACATATTAATTTGATCGTTTTCAATCCCATGCATGCATGCATCTCACAACTAACGTGGCGCCATGCGGCATCCAATTTGGTTGCTAGTGCTGCTTATCGATCAAAAAGTGTGAATACAGTGGTCCACGTGTGAATACAGTGGACCACGTGTGAATACAATGGACTGTCACGCAATTGTGCATCTATCTGTGTACATTTGATCGTTTCTTCCAATCCCGTGCATCACGACTCTAGGTGTTTCTCTCCTAGGGATGAAATTAAATGGTCGAAACTATATTATCATTTTTATTGTTTTATGTAAATAGTAGCGATAGCGATACTACTGTATATCAAGATACCTCTATACTTTTATAACCAATTTAAATGAATACCCACTTGTATAAATTACATAAGAGGCCAGATCCAGTCGCCGGGGTGCCAGAACTGGCCAAATGAGCACAAGATTTGGTGGTTCCTCCCAAGGCACGACCTGCCTCCCACTATCCATCATTGGTCGCTTCCCTAGCACTGTCGCCTCCTCCTCTACCTCACCATCTGAATTTTCCGATGGCGACTCGGACGGTGGTGAGGCAGAGGCGGTGGTGGTTGTTTCGCATCCTAGTCGCCCCTGAGGTGGGAGCGATGCGGACGGAGCTCACCTTCTAGAGTTACGGTTCTATCAATCTTATTTCAAGAGAATTGAAACACATAAGAAAGAAGTGGCTTATTATGAAAGCTGCGTCCTCACGGCACCTCTCCTAAAAACACACCTAAAAACATGAAAAATGGAACTATAGACTATGGCGTCGTTAGTCCACTTAGTGATCCAATTACAAAACTATATGTTATTTGTCCCTCGACTCACAAAAAGAAACTCAAGTTTTATACCTAGGTCCGACCCACGGTTCACTATTTATGATGTGGCATCATTTTTTTTTGGTTATATTTTATTTGAAGAAAATCCGAGCTAGAATAATAAATCCCTCAACTACTGTGAAAATTCTATTATTTGGTCATATTATATTTGAAGCTTTCGTCAATTTGGAAAAAGCCTGGCACCTGTTGAGTCAGCTAGACTTGTATCCGGTGTTTTGGTTTAGTAGACACACATTAATGGTTGTGTTATGATGATTATGATATGGAATTTTCCTTTAGTGTTGATTTGCATCAAACAAAAATGAATAATCACTACTGGAGAAACCATCTTTAATGGGTTGTCCAAAAACCATAATAGTCTCGGTTGCTTAAAAAAACCAGGGCTAAAAAAATTTTTAGTCGCAGTTAAAAAGGGTAGCGGTATTTTTTCTATCTCCTCCCTAGCGCGTAGATCAACAAAAATCAAACAGAGCAAGCGTGTCGATCAATTCTCAAAAAAAATAAAGAACAAAAAAAATCAGAGGCGCCCAGCTCCCTTATCTGTTCTCCTCCTCCACTCCTCCCCATCCATCTCTTCTTTTCTTCCTCTCCTCCTTCTCAACTCCTCCTCCAGATGCACTTCTCATTTAGTTTTCTCCTTCTTCTCCTTCTCCACTCCTCCCCTCCCCTTATCTTTGACCTAGCTGGCAGGCGGGAGGGCCGCGGCGGCTGCGTCGGGGGCGGCCGGCGCCGGGCGGGAGGCCGCGGCCGGCGCCGGTTGGGAGGCGGCGGCCGACGGACAACATGTTTTTTTTTCTTCTCTTCTCTGTTCTCTGTGATGAATGCTGACGATGTTGTAGATGTGAACTTTTTTTTTCTCTGTTGTCTATGATGAATGCTTGTTGTCCTGGAGATATTGTAGATGTGAATAAATGCAAAGAATATTGATGCTTTGATGTTGATTTTATTCATTTGATTTGTGATGATTTGGGCTTTTTTTTATTTTATTCATTCGATCTATGATGATTTGGGCGATATGCAAAGAGTAAAAGAACAATGAAAAAGAAAAAAGACCAACCGGATAAAAGGAAAAGAAAAAAAATTTTTTAATCCTGGTTGGTAACACCACCGGTACAGACTGTTGCACCTCCCAGGATCAGCCTGATGCCGCGCATTCCAAATAAAAACGCAAAATAAAAGATCATCGGGCGCAACCAATAAAAAATCGCCGCTTCATTGATTTCAATATACCAGGTACTAAATATTTTCACATATCAAAGAACGTTGTAGTTATGTTAGAACTGAAAAAAAATATCGGAAGAATGGGAGCATAAATTAAGTGGGTCACGTTGTATATGGAGTGTATGGTCCGATGAACGTGCTTTGCTGGATGATGGTCTTTTATATTGAATTTTTACGGTATAATTTATTGGTAGTATAAACAATCCAATGACGAATTAGTTTCCTACCCTACTGCATAAATGGTTTTTTCAGGGCGAGACCCTCTCCTCTCCTTTCTCACTCTCTCACCTCTTCTTCTCACTCTTCTCTCCTCTGCGCAGCTCTCCTATCTCACTCTCCTCTTGCAGCCAGCGGTGGGCGGCGCGGCCGGTAGTGGGCAGCGTGGCAAGCGGCAGGCAAGGGGCACTGCTGGTGGCAGGTGGAGGGCTCGACCGGTGGCATCAGGCGGCTCTGCCTCCGCCGGCCTCGTGACGGGCGGCAGGCGGTGCTATCAACGGTGGGCTTCCCCGCGCATCGACGGAGGCTTCGATAGCTGATCTGGCAACTGCGGCGAATGCAGGCGCCGGCAACGGAAAAGGCGGCAACTCCCTCGGCCCTTCCACGCGCGGATCGAGCGACGGGCTCGAGCGGGAGGCCGGGAGCGGCTCTCCCCTGCCCTTCCCCATGCGGATCCGGCGGTGGGCTCAAGCGGGAGGGTAAATTTGTCTTTCCATGTTACACATGACGGGCAGTTCCGTAAAAACCCATTCTTCACTCCGGTCGAAAGGAAAATAATCGTTAGCTGTTTCGCGATGCCCAGAGAAAAGCAGGAAAGTAGCTTGTATTATACCGTTTTCCTCTCCCTGTTTTGCGGTTGCAATCTTGTGGATTTATCACCACGTAGTATGTACCTATGCCGAATGTCGATGATCAGGAACAAGATTAATTATGCATAGCTAGATTAAAGTGTGTTTAATTAGAGAAAATAATCGCCAATTTGTTTATTACTAGTATTTATTAATGTATTAGATCGTCGTTATTCTTTGGTTGCGATCTATAGTGGGACTAAAAATTAAATAGTCCTGTTGTAACCACCAACCGAGACTAAAAATCCATTTTTAGTCTCGGTTTTTAGTGTAACCGGGACTATTATGATTTTCGCCAGACTGATCAAATATGGTTTCTTCACTAGTTAATAAAGAACGTCTGCACCTGGACATACGCACTCGCGCACTGTGCGGAGTGAGGATAACCGGCTCGATGAAACAGAGCAAAGCAAATAGATAGGGGAAAATAGAGGAAGTAGAGAAGGGCAAATCTGTATATGGTAACTCAATAAAATTCAGCAGACCAAGCATGATTTCACGTTATCAACAAACCATATATGATTTCTCCAGGAATTTCACAACAAAACCATCGTGACCTTCTCTATAATTATCATTGATGGTTTTTATGCACAAAGCAATCATCAACGCAAATTATACAGAAGGTCACATAGATGTAGTGGTGGATCTAGAGTCCTAACGTGTCTATCGTTATCATAGCATGCTAATTATATTTAGAATATAGTGTTATAATATATAGACAAGCAATTTAAACATAGCTTTTGTCGAATGTCATCGCTGTCTTCTGACACCAGTGGTAACACTGTAGATCCGCCTGATAGATGGTAAGCGCTAACAAAATATTATGTTCATGTTATCGGATATTATGATAAAATAGTAACCAAATTTATCCCATACCTTTTAGTAAGTTTTAACTCTCCAACAAAGCCATGATAGTAATTTCATCAAATAACAATTATCCCTTGTATATCTAATCTTTATCTTTATTTACTACGTAGTAAAAAATACATAGTAGTGGTGGTGAGTCCTGGATAATCTAAGGGCCGATATTACCCTTAGGATCCTCGTGCAGATCAAAAGGCTCAGATACCCCTCATGCTGTCCCGCACCGCCCCCACCTCCGTATCACACCGTCCGCCCGCATCACACCGCCTGCCCTTGGACGCCCCCGTTACCTCCTCCTTCATGCCACTTGGCGCTGCCTCCGTGGCGCCCCCGGTGGCTCCTTCGTTGTGCTGCTGCCACCTCCTCCGCCGCAATGCTACTCCATCGCTTCATAGCCCCTCTCCTCCTCCAGCCCTATGCTCCCTGCTCCGTCCGGTGCACCGCCACTTCCTATCCCCATCATGTATTCCAACTTTATATCTCCCTACTGCTGTCATCCTCCAACTTCATATCTCCCTACTGCTGTCATCCTCCAGGTAATTGATTCTATATTGGTTTGGTTTATCGGATAGTCCGTGGAAGATCGAGCTGCTGCTAAGTCAGGATACATACATGTCACAGCTTAATTTTTGTTTCAGGATTTATAAATTATTTAATAAATTATTAATAGAATTTATATTAAATGTTCATTAATTTATAAGTGAAGTTAAATGTGGGAAATAAAATTTCCTAAATATAAAGCATGGATGGATTTAATTTGTATTAAATTCTCCATGATTAATTATACTCTGGAATTTTCTTGGATTTTTCAGAGCTCAATTATTAATTTTAATAATACAAAGAATATTTCAGTAATTATTCACATATTAAATTAATCATTAAATGAGCTGGTTTCAATTTTGTTAAATACTTTGAGTGTTCAAGTATATTCAAGATTTTTCTTGGAATTACAATTGAAAGATCATTTCAGTGATTAATTTAATTGGGAAAAGTAATTAAAATCCCCTTTTCCTTTTTGGGCCGAAACAGGAAAGTTCACCTTTAGTCCTCGGCCCATTCTTCTTTCTATTCGGCCGGCCTT